TTCCTTGTGTAAGAATATGGACAAGGTGAACCTGCTATTTTATTTTGATTTTTGTTTAGTTATGAAATCGAACATTTTGATACATTTGCTTACCATTTCTCTAGTCAATTGTCTGTTCTGTTCTTAGTCTTAATTTAAATTCCTTCAGTTTATTGAGTTCTTGTAACATATTTAAATTCTGTCAAATGTTGAGATACAACAACATTTGGAAATCAAATGAAGAAACATTGACTCTCAGCTTAACTTTTTAACTACCTACCATTTTCCTCTTATGCTGGACAGAATATTTGGTAGCCTTGCTTCTTAAAACCTTGATATGAAATAGATGCCTGTGTTCTGGTTAAAGCTGAAACTTTATTCAAAACAAAGAAGAAATGTAAATAGGCAGTGGCATGTATTCTTCAGGAACACAAACTGCTGGGCTGCAGATACAAATTTGAGATAAGTTAGTAGTTGAAGCCATAGGAGTTGATGAGATTCCCTACAGAGAAGAGTTTAGACAGAAGGGAAGAGTAAGGACAGGATGGGAGAGCACAAGAGGAAGTATTGACCTTAGATGGAATGGGAAGAAAAACACTTTCTTTATTGAGGTGATTCCCAGTTCTACATACTTAACAAATTATAATCACCTGAGGGACTTTTTTTTAAAAGTAAGAACTGATGTCTAGCCCTTCACCCGCCTCCCCATATTTGTGTATTTTAAAGCTCCAGTTGACTTTAATGTGCAGTAAGAGTTGAGGACTTGCTAAAACACAGAGTGCTGGGCCCCATCCTCAGAGTGTGGTTGTAGGTCTCAGGTGGGGCCTGAGAATTTGCATTTGTAACAGGTTTCCAGATGATGCTGAGAACTGCTGCAGCAATAAGTGGAGGAAGAAAAGGATGAATGTAGATGGAGGTGGACTTGTAGATTTGCTCCTATGAAGTTTAAGGACTCGCTTTCTTATAATGTTGTTTTCCCTGTAGTGGAGAGAAGGAATGTTGCTTGAGTAGTGGTGATATTGAGAGGTCCAAGATTTGAAGATGCTTAGGTGTTAAATAATTACCAGATAAGGGTAAGAGAGCAAGTTGACTCTTTTTTATTTACTGTTCCTTTTTTGTCACTATAGATGAATATTCTTCCTATGTCTTTGTCCATGTTATTAGTAAAGATATGTCAACAGGCTAGATTCTGGGAGTGCATCTCTGTTCACACCATCACCATTAGTACTCTTGGGATGTAATTAATTGTATATATTCTTCTATGTATAATAGCAAATTGTCTATGTATTAGTGTTGTTCTTTTAGTTGCAAGTGAATCTTTTTCCAATTTATCTCAAGAAAAGGTGGTTTATTGTATACTTGGAGAGCTTAGTGGATATCCACATTGTTATATGGGAGGAGACTGCACAGTGTGATGAATTGAACCAGAAGCCTTGGTTTCAAATCCAATCTAATTTACCTCTGGATATCACTTCATCTGTAAAATCGAGATACTAACTACATCATAAGGTTATTAGACTGAAATTAGGTAACAGATGTGTGAATGCTTGATAAGTTTTATGGTACTATGTAAATAAACATTGAGTATAGCAGTTCATATGCATAAAATCACATCTCTGCATGTGGTGCTGATTCTGCAGTTCACAAATGCAAAAGCAGTAGATAAAATGGTTTTTATAATGGTTAAGCCTAAACAGGCTTGACTTTGATGCTTTTTGTATGATATATCTATTCTATACTATCTTTAGCTCCCATGCTCAGTTCTTAATGTTTTTAGCTATTGATGGTTTTTGTTTTGTTTTAAATTTTTATTGAATCAAAATTGATTATACAAATAATCAATTTTGGGGGTTCAACATTGAGATATGTTAATCAAATCAATATTAGTAGCATATGTATTGTTACAAATCATAATTATTCTTTATGCCCCTTGTCCAATCTCTCACCATCTCACTCTCCCTCCCTCTCCCCCCTCTAATTACCCTAGATTTCTTCTCTCCGGCAGAAAGAATAATGGTTACTCTGTTGATTTGTTGCCTAGATGGTCTGTCCACTGCTGAGAGGTGCCCTCCCTCTCCCCCCTCTAATTACCCTAGATTTCTTCTCTCCGGCAGAAAGAATAATGGTTTCTCTGTTGATTTGTTGCCTAGATGATCTGTCCACTGCTGAGAGGTATGATCAGTTCCCCCAGTATTATAGAGCAGATGCTTCTTCTGTCACTCTGAAATGGGCTTTGTGGAGAGAGACGTCCTCTTCTTTTCTTTATCTCTGCTAGTGACTCTTTGTGTCAATGCACTCTGGCAGACCATCTGCATGGTGGTTGTGGCATCTAGCTGCTTTTACGGCAGCCATGGTTATTGTGGTGGCTGTGGTGGGCTACCCACATGGAGGTGATGTTTTTGGCCTGCCCTTTGTGCTGGCATCGTGCCTGGTTGGAGGGAGTGTCCAGTCCTCAGCTCCATGCCTCGGGTCACCGTGTTGGCCCCGAGGCTCTGGCGCAGTGTGCGTGGTTGTGGGAGAGGGGGTCCAGTCCACTTCTTCATGATTTTGGTCCCCAGGTGGGCCCCAAGGCCCTGGCACGGTGTGTCTGGTTGTGGGCAGGTGGGGGGGGGGTCTGTTCCCTGGCTGCTTTTCCCAGGCCCCCAGGTGGGCCCCAAGCACTGGCTCCAAACCTCGTTTGTTTGGGCAGACCCCAAGGTGCTGGCGGTGTGAGTACTTGTGGGTGGGGGTCCAGTCCCTGGCTCCCTGCCTCATGTCCCCTGGTGGGCCCCAAGGCACTGGTGGTGTACCTCGGCTGGAACTAATTTTTTGTCCTTTGCTTACTCCTAACATGGGGGAACTTCCTTTGGGAGCCAGTACTTGAGCTGTGTGGTTAAGGTCCCTGGCACGGTGTGTCTGGTTGTGGGCAGGTGGGGGGGGGGTCTGTTCCCTGGCTGCTTTTCCCAGGCCCCCAGGTGGGCCCCAAGCACTGGCTCCAAACCTCGTTTGTTTGGGCAGACCCCAAGGTGCTGGCGGTGTGAGTACTTGTGGGTGGGGGTCCAGTCCCTGGCTCCCTGCCTCATGTCCCCTGGTGGGCCCCAAGGCACTGGTGGTGTACCTCGGCTGGAATTAATTTTTTGTCCTTTGCTTACTCCTAACATGGGGGAACTTCCTTTGGGAGCCAGTACTTGAGCTGTGTGGTTAAGGTAGATTGCTGCTTTGCTGCTGTTTCCCTAAGGGAAGGTTTTTTGTTCAGCTTAGGGTTTAATGGTTGACCTTATAGGTACTTCTGGTTCTCCAGAGATCCAGTGCACCTGGGTTGTGTAGAAACTCTGATCTGGGCCTGAGTTTTTTCATCAAACTGCACCCCATGCAATTCAGTCTCCTGTGAGTGGTCCTGTGCTTATTGGGGGGCAGGTCGGCTGTCCTTGCTGTGTCTCACTTTTCTCCCAGTGGGCCTGTCTCCCCACCACATGTGCTCCAAACACTTCCCATGGGGCGGGCTCTGCGCTGTTCCCTTGCGGTGACTCGCCAGCCTCTGAGTGGCTCCCCTTTTTCAGCTGTTCTGGCTCCTTGCTCCTGTGTGGGTCCACAAGAACCCAATTAGTGGTCTTGCTGTCCTGGGGGCCACAAAGGCCCTCTTCTCCCCTGCCGCCTTCAAGTAACGCCATCTGAAGGGCACAGCTGCGGCTTCTGCCAGCTCCTGCTCCATGCGCTCAGCAGCTGGAGCCTTAAAGTGGCCGCAGCCCGGAATGCTCAGAGCAGTTTTTTCTTTCTCTCATCGTGCTTTCTTCTGCTTTCGTGAACTCCAATGGTCTCTCCTTCTCTTCCCTTGAGCTCCAGCAGCCCCAGCTTGGCTGATGTTACATTCTTATAGTTGTAAATTGGTTGATTTATGGGAGAGAGTGACTCTGGGGACCGTCTATTCCACCATCTTCAGCTATTGATGGTTTTTATGGTAGAATTGGCCACCTTCTGCCCTACTCTCCCCAAAACCCACATTAAAAACAAAAAAACCCTTAGATTGATATGTTTACACAACTTTATTAAATTAAAGGGAAATAGTATGAGATATAATTTCTGTCTTTTTCTCCTATTTAGTAATAGCGTAGCTTTAGGTCAGGGCACATCTTCAGAATTAGGGTACATTAGCTCCAAAGATGGAGATTCTGTGTTTTATATATGAATGTTCATTAAAACACTATTTGTTTCTAATAATTTCTCACTTATAAAGGACTTTCTATATGTTCTGACAAAATGCACACCATTTCTTGAACACTTAGTCCATAGACATGAAATAGATTATTTTTTTGTGCCTTGTGTTAATGAGGAAATGTTCTGCCCTTTACAGAATGCAGAAAAAATAGAATGTTCTTTGTTTTAAATTGTTAAGTTAATAAAGCTTTGTTGGGTTCATACTGCCTAAAAACACAGCTATGCAATTTATAGGGGAATGATGACCTGTCATATTTGGATTCCATGTGTGTTAGCCAATCATGCTGATCATTTCAAGCCTATTAAATTGAATAGATTCACCTTTTTTTTTTTTTTTTAAGATGACCGGTAAAGGGATTTTAACCCTTGGCTTGGTGTTGTCAGCACCACGCTCAGCCAGTGAACTAACCAGCCATCTCTATATAGGATCCGAACCCGTGGCCTTGGTGTTATCAGCACCACACCCTCCCAAGTGAGCCATGGGCTGGCCCTTAGATTTACCATATTTGATCTATTCATCTCAGTATGGATTATAACCCTATTCTCTGTGATATAGTTAAGCAGTTATAAACCATAAATAATATGTTTGCCAAATGCATACTAGTTTATGATGACTAATTTTGTCACGTATTGATTATTGGAATTTGACAATATTAAAGAGGTCTATAAAATTATCATTGATAAGAGTTATTGATGATTGGTTTATTCATTTCTCAGTGTTTTTATTTTTTAGAATGTCTCTGAACATCTGAATTTACTGGGTTTTGAGTCAGCTAATAAATCATAAAATTTTCTGCTTATTTTTCTTTCTTATGTGCATCTTAAAGGCTGGTTTTAAGGGGTGTGGCAGGAGGTTTTGGACTCGATGAGTTTCCACCGAAATGTCGGAGAAGTCAGGCCAGAGCACAAAAGCAAAGGATGGGAAAAAGTATGCAACACTCAGTTTATTTAATACTTACAAGGGTAAATCCTTAGAAACTCAGAAAACCACAGGTGAGTCAAATCAAGTGGCATTTATGTTTTTCATGGTTTTGTTTTGTAACTATAAATGGTACACTGGAACTGCTGCTGTTAGAAGCTACAGCAAACCCAAGTTAATGCAGCCTCATTTACATTAGCTTTTTTATGTATGCATACACTTTTCAATAAGAATTAAATATTTGAAAATTTATACTTTCCTATAGCATTTTAAAAATATTTTTATAGTCTGTTTTCAGCAGAAATAGAACTGTATGGTTCCAAAGGGGAAACTCAAATCAATAAGATTGATAGGCATATAGGGAAAGTTCTGTGGTTTTTGGTTTCTGTTTTTGTATTTTAACTTAGATACCTTGAGCTCAGTGTATACAGTGAAAACTGAAAACTGGGCCATGTATGGTACATTTGTCTTATTCCTTATGAACATAAAGTCAACATATTTATTTCCCAACATCCTCAGTTTTGAGTTTGAAGTAGATTCCCTGAAAAAATTTCAAAACCAGCATTATCATTGTTTTATTTTTCTTTTTTCTTTTTCTTTTTCATAGTGTGTTGAGTTGCATTGTTAGAATTTTTAAAACTTCTGTTCAGTGGCCTGGTTGCTTAATATTTCTACATTGTATTGTGTTGGAGGTGTATACCTTAATTTGAAAATTCTTAAATTATTAGGAATAATTGTTCAAAGATTCCATTAATTCCTACTGTTTTTCTATATCATTTGAAGAATAAAATGGGTAATAAAATAGATGTTCTAAGAAAGTTGATGTTATTGATCTTTAGTTGCAGCTCGACATGGATTACAGAGTCTTGGAAAAGTTGGTATTTCACGGCGCATGCCTCCACCTGCTAACCTCCCAAGTCTCAAAGCAGAAAACAAAGGCAATGATCCTAATGTGAACATTGTACCTAAAGATGGCACAGGATGGGCATCAAAACAAGAGCAGCATGAAGAAGAAAAGTGAGTCAAAGTCTATTAAAGGCTGAAACCTTTCTTCTTTCTTTGTAGAGAACTTACGTTTGAATACCTGATATGTGCTGAGTGTTGTACTGTGCATATTGCATATTTCATGCCCTCTAAAGTCTTTGATTATGTAGTAACCTTTGATTAATTTCCCCTATAGTGGATTTAGTGACAGTATTTCTATTTGTCAAGGTAGAACAGGAGACAGAATTGCTAATCACAACTTTGCTTATGTCATAGGCTGTATAAGGCTCCCTCCTGTCCTACTGCCATCACTGAAATGTCAGAGAAGTCGACATTCTCTGACATTTCGGAGAATGTTGGAGAATTCTTTTTCTAATATGATTAAGAGTTGGTTCTGTTACCTAAATTCCATGATGCTAAGGATTTCTATCTGCTTGGTTTAATGTACATCTCCAGCATTGAAACTGTGCCTGGTGCACTGTAGGTGCTCAAGTAATATTTGTTGAGTGGACAGTTAGCAAGAGAGCTGGGATAGTATTAATAGTGTTCATTTTAATCATCATTCATTCAACAAATATTTAGCCTGTGTGTCAAGGATTGTGCCAGGCTCTTTGTTAATTGAATGACCAAGCTGAATAATGCTAATCAAGACTTTCTTAACCTATATTTGTTATCAAATTTCTGTCCTGCCTGAGGAGATTTATATAGTAAATCTGGCTACTTGTGTAGAAGCTTGTGAAGGACTTACTGTTCTTTGCTTGTTAGTTGTTTCTTTTTATTGTTTTTTTTTTGTTTCTCTACCTTTTTTTATTTTTTTGACTAGAAGCTTGTGAAGGACTTACTGTTCTTTGCTTGTTAGTTGTTTCTTTTTATTGTTTTTTTTGTTTCTCTACCTTTTTTTTTTTTTTGACAGCTGGCTGGTACGGGGTCTGAACCCGTGACCTTGAGGTTATAAGGCTCTTCTCTAACCAGCTGAATTAACTGGCTAGCCCTCTCCTTGTCCCCTTGTTAGTTGTATGTAATAGAATTATTTTGTAGTAACAAGACAGTTCCAGGTCTGATTATATCCAAAATGTATTTCATTTCTTAAGTCTCTTAACTACCTTTTCATTTTTAAGTATTACCTCATTACAAGGATTGAATAAAATTATAGACCCTTTTAAAACACCTTTTACTTATAGGAATGGATCAGGCAGGTTGCTGTTACCTCTTTGAATAACAGTAATAAGTACAGTGGTGAACCTGTTGACTGCCAAATGCAGAGGTTGCTTAGCCTAGCTCCCAGCTAATTCCACCAGTACAGACTGTATGTATGCATATAATGTTATTTATAATTATAAATGTTCACTTCTTCAAAATAGATTTCTGGTAGCTACGTTCAATAATAAGTGTTTTTTTGTTTTGCTTTTTAACAAAACGGAAAACCAGCAAAGTTGTCATCTTGCTGGGTTACTCAAAGGCAGAGATGAAAGGGGACAAAAATAGCCGTAATTTATGTAACAGAATGTTACAGAGGGAAAACATTTGTGGGTGATGCATCTGTAAGTAAATACGTAGCCAGAATAATTTGTACACAGATTTACCTTAAATATAATATTGATTTTACTTTATTTAAACATACAATATGTGAAATAATGGGTTCATATTTTTTTTTAAGAACACCAGAAGTGCCACCAGCACAGCCAAAACCTGGGGTTGCAACCCCCCCCGAAGTAGCACCAGCTCCCAAATCATGGGCCAGTAACAAGCAAGGTGGGCAAGGAGATGGTAAGTGGACATTAGCTGGGGAAACTGGTTAGGCTTGATAGTTACTGAGCAGCCATGTAGGAGATAAGGGGTCGACTGTTTTAGTACAGATGGAAAGCATCGTCAAGGGATGTACTCAGGCCCTAAACAAGAGTCTTTGTAAAATCTCTTGGGCTAGTTAAATCTCAGTGTCAAGACCCATGTGTGAGCCAGTGATAATGGTTTAAAAGAGAGTCTTTAAGATACCCTCTGCCCAACATTGTTTGCCCCTGTGCCTTCAGTTTTTTGAGACATAAAAGTACCCGACATTGCATAGATTGAGACCATATACATCTCCATCTCTGCCCCCAACCACTCCTGTTTCAAACATGCTGTCATGATTTCCTTGGTGGAGAAGAGATAGAGAGTAGCCATAAACCGTAGCTGTAACACTCCCCTTACCCCAAGGAATGATGGACTCTCCAATAGAATTTAATTTTTTCAGTTGCAAAACAGCAACGGTCTATAGAACATTCTATGGTAGAATCAATCTAGGCCCTCAAGCTTTTTATCTCCTCATGGCTGTTCATTAACTTTTCAAAGGATTCTAGATAATTTTTATGAGTTTTATGTAAATGAACTGTCATTGTGAAATGTGGAATAGTTTATCAGAAAGAGGCAGAAAACTATCCTGAGAGGGTTGTTTGAATTGTCTTCAGTATAAAAGTTACCTTTAATGTCTTTTCAAAAAATCTATAGGAATCCAGGTAAACAGTCAATTTCAGCAGGAATTTCCCAGCCTGCAGGCAGCTGGGGATCAGGAAAAAAAAGAAAAGGAAGCAAATGATGACAGCTATGGACCTGGACCCAGTTTACGCCCACCAAGTAAGATACTTTCTATTTAATAAAAATACAGAATGAGATTATATTTGTGTTTTATCTTGTAAGACAACCTCCTGCTTGCTGTTGTATATATGAATGGCCTAGTTTGAGAAGGAAGATTCTAGAGTTGCCTGCTACTCAATACTATTACTATAACTTGAGAAATTGTTAGAAAGGTGTAATCTTGGGCCTCACATCCAACCTACTAAATCAAAATCTGGATTTTAACAAGACGCCAGGTGACTTCATATGTGTACATTCATATTTGATCTTTTTAACAATAGTAAAAGTTTTTGAGCATGCTTCCCCAGTATACAACTATTTATTTATAAAGTATACGTATAAATTGCATTTATTTACTACTCAATTAATATTCAGTGATCCCTTGCTTTCTGAACTCAAAGTAGGAAACATTATTTTGGCTAGTAAGGGACACTTTGTGTATGTCTACATTATAAAGCAAAAACTAAAAATAGAAATATAAAATGTTTGAGAGATTTTTTTAATGTCTTATTAATTATGATAGCATCACAATGTCATTACCAAAGGATCCTATATACAAGGGGACGTTCCTCTGTGACAGCAATGTTTATAAATCCATATTCTAATAACCTGATACATTCCACTTTTCTTTTCGCTCATTATCAGATCTAAATAAATCATCTTTATTTTTTTTTTA